ATATGAAATAAACCCAAATTAGATAAAAATTAGTTGCTGAAAATTATCCGAAACGTCAGGAGTTTGTAATTTTTTACGAAAAATAAAGCACGCGTAGTTATCCGAAAAATATTAGTTTCATTTAACACTATAAAAGACTTAATACCAAAATTTCACCACAGCTCTAATTACTTTTATTTTTTTTCTTCGTTGCATATTTATAATATATATTTTAGTTTGCAAGGTCAAATATTCCAATGATTGACAAGTTCAAATATAAAATTTCTATACATTAATTTTAACAAAAAAAAAAGGTATTCATTTGACACCTCTTACATATGTCAAAGTCAGAACTATTATTGTGTTAAATAAAATAATACCCACAAACGCACGTAGGTTGTAGTTGAAATCAGAATATAGTGTTTTGTCCATTTTCCTAGCTACGGTTGTTGTTCGCAGTACAATTCTATTATATCTTATATCTGGTTACTATATCTGAGATCTTTCAATATATCACATAGATATTAAAGTACAGACACACCGAATACAGGAACTTGATTTAATGTAGTCAATGTTATTGGATCCTGATTATTTATTACTAACAACTCTCGTGGGAACGATACAATATTGTTTATTATACATCGCGGCGTTAGATGATCTTGTGTTATAATTTATTGTGATGAATACGCAATGTATTTAATAGCTAACGATTCGATTTAATATATTCCAATATATGAATACAATAAAGTGGATTTACTACGTGTAGCTTACTTATAAAACATGTGTTTTAAAATATATTTAAATAATAATTGTTTAACAAAATATAAATATATATAAAATAATATGTAGTAAAATTTATAATTAAATATTCATATAAATATAAACAAAATTATTTACTACTAGGTTATAAGTCTTATAGTTTATACAGGGTACAAGTATTCTTTTTATTTTAAATTACTTTTTCTAAAAGTACTCTCATATAACGCATCTACAGAAGACATATTCCAAGATCTTTTATATATATGGATATATTAAGACCATGTTTGATTTTGGTAAGAAGGGACTTGAAGGCAATACATTCACGAAATGAACTTTTATAACCCTATCGTATAATATATAAGGATTATCCCTTGTACTACCTTTTAAATTTATTAAAAGCGTTTTTATTCTCATACTTTCAATGAACAATTAAGCAAAAAATTTTGATAATATCTCAAATTATAAAGAATTTTCTTTTTATATAACAATGCATCTTAATTTATATCTGTTTTGAGATAATATGAGTCAGGAGGATCCTATTTATTACATATTTAAGTCACCTACGACACACCTACTTATTTCGCTATGCAAATAATAGAATGGGTCAAATATCTGCTTGTTATTCACACCGGCTTCAGTCAAGGCCCTGATATTGAACCACATAAATCCGGCTTCATATCGTTGTATTAATATAAATAGTTACATTTCCTTACATATTTTTTGTATATATAGCAAGTCAAGCTACGATACAACAAGATTTTGTATGGCTTAAAATTCTTTTTAATGAACAACATCATATTCCTCCTTTTAAAGTATTTCTATAATGACTAACCAAACGAATGGGTATTAAAAGGAACTGAAAAGTGAGGTATGTAAAAAATGAGAAATTTCTTTATGCCTTGATCATTTTTCTATATCACAATATGAGATTAAAGATAATGACTTAGCATTCAATATGTCAAATAGTATTTATTACACTTTTTACTTCAATTTCGTGTTCTTTGAGATAATTTCTTTATTACTCCAGTTAGTAGAAAAATCTAAAGTGTCATCGTAATCAGCCTATCAGAGCCCACTGCTGAGCAAAGGCCTCTTCTAACATGGAGAAGGTTTGAGTATTAATCACCACGCTTGCTCAAGACGGGTTGATGATTTAAAACTTATAATACACAAATCCCTAATAATATTATAAATGCGAAAGTAACTCTGTCTGGATGTTACGCTTTCACGCCTAAACCATTGAACTGATTTTAATGAAATTTGGTACAGAGATAGAGTTGACTTTGAGAAAGAACATAGGATAAATTTTATCCCAGACTTTTGAAAGGTTCTCTTGGGAAAGCTAGTACATATATAATACCAATGCTATAGTTTTTACTTAATGTATTTTATTTCTTGATATGAGTGATAGTTATGAGTATAATGACTGAATCATGTGACAATGGCTTAATTAAAGCCCCTGTATGAACATATCGATGTCAAAACACCGCTATCCTGTCGGCTGGATGTCACACTGAGATATGACGCAACTCGGACATGTACTGTCACAGAGAAAATATATATATATATATATATATATATATATATAATATATGAATATTATTGAGCATGAATGTACATAAGAAAGATTTCAACATATAAGCAGAGTTTTTGGGTTGGTACTACATTATGTTTGATGTTATTTTACGAGTTAATATATGTATATAAAGACATGATAACGTTTTTATTACGGTAACAAACGAATTAGGAAGAGAGAGAGGGTGACAAAACAAGCTATTTTGTTCTATTTGTTAATGAAAATTTAAAGAAAAACGAATTAAACTTATTAATTTATTTCAAGAGACTGCGATTTTTGTCTTAACCTAATTCAAAATAAACTATACAAGCCCACAGCAATTTATCTCAAGAACTTTCATATAGTAAATAATTTCTTAGAATATTTAAAACTATTTTATGTTAAAGAAACTAAAGTAAATATTTTTACTATGAAACATCCGTTCACATTATATGATAGATAAATCATAATATAATGTATATCATTTAAATAATTTATTGTGTCATAAATATTAAGCGTTTTCTTCCTCACTGTACAAACCTGCGGACCGGCTTACCACGTGCCGTCGTCATATGTCAGTGTTTGATTAATGGATAGCAACGGGATGGAATTAATGACATTCTTCATCCCATCCGCATCGGGATAGGGATAGGGATAGGGATAGCGAATTGTATGAGTTCTGTAGAATATTTTTGTTTTGTACTCGTTAGTTATCTATTATTGTGTTATCATGAGTTCAATACATTTCAAGGTTATTGATTGATTTTCATACTTTGTTATAAAAACATGTACAATATGAAGAGTAAAGAAGTATTTTATGTATGTATTCGTCATTATAAATACAAAATCTAATGTAATTTCGGAATGACTCTAAAATGTTTTAAGGTTACGACAAATGCAAGTCATTTTTAATACAAATCTTTCGACTTATGCTCTAGCTACGAAAAAGCTGTGGTACACTTACTGATATAATATATATCACATATATATAATATGCATATGTGTGTGTGTGTGTGTGTATATGTGTGTATATATGTTTTATAACGTATATAACGTTTAAATTAAAGTGATTTATACATATATCTCAATTCTCACTATATTCTTATATCTCAATATTTGCCAGGGAAAAGTATAAAAATTAAATTATTTTATATCAAACACGTTTCCTTTATCGTATATCTTTCTGTGTGTAACAACTTAAAGCGATAATGGCACTCCCATTACGTGTTTTTTTTTTGGAAGTCCAAGAACAAAAACTATAGAGACAATTTGAATTAGCGGTCCACATTTACAATGTTAACAGAATGATGGATTCGTACATTAACGATTCCTTATACTTTAACTAATTTTTATTATTTCTGTTATAAAAATGTTCTAAATAACCTTTTCTTTGCAATATTACTTTCAAACGAAACGAAAAGTATTTATATTTCACTATTTTGATAGTGTTTTAGCACATTCTACGTCACCGCATACGTTCTGTGTGAATTGTAATTATTTAGCGCTATTAACGAGTTTTAAACACAGTGTACATAGATACACTTCAGAAGCCTGTAAACTAGTTGCCTTTCTACGTATTTTTATTGTAATTCTTAGAATCAGTACGCATGTATAACTATTAATATTATCAACTTTGTAGGTATTGATTAATGTTTTAAAGAAACTTGGCGGTAATACATATAACATAGAATATATAATACAGAAATTGGTAAAAATATATATTACTGACTGAAATTTAATTTTAATTTCTCAGAGCAGTTACTTCAAAACAGAACAATTTTGAGTCTCAAATATTTTTGTTACTTACTTTATACTATATTAATGCTCTGTGCTATATTGAGTCCTATAATTTATAAGACTACATTACATTAAAAAAACTCTTGTTTCAATATATGATATAAGTTAAGAAAAATAATGTTCGTTAGTATTCCCTTTACATAGAAAAAATATATACATGTATGTATAATCATAAATTTAAATCTTTATTACGGTCTTCGATGTAGAAAATTTAGACCGATGATTCCGACCGGACTGATAGTGAGGAAAACTCCCAATATACGAACTATGTCATTACTTTCATTATATTATGTATTAGTATGAAATATAAATAATTACCCAATAATAACGTAAATGGTGTAACTAAATTGCGTAAAGTTAAGAACTCTCCAAATATATACATTAAATATTAGCTGCGTCAGATCACTTTGTCGTAATTAACACGCGCGTAAAGATGGTTTCTCCGTAACGGTTACCATGGAAACCGTGATGTCACCACCGAAACTCAACCTTCGATCAATTTAGCGAAGAATTACAGGTAAATTACAGCATCACTAATATAAAATAGCTCTAAATATGATATGATACAGCGATTTTTCTTGTAACTTATCAAGTACTAAATAATTGAATGAAAAAGAATTGATGACTTGTGTTAATAAAAATGGTTATAAAAGACACCTCATAAATTTATTTATATATAAAATTTTCAGATCATTGTTCTAAATAATGCAGAATTTATGAAAATATATTTTAAATATTAAGGCAAAATTGAGTAAATGCTTTAAAAACTTCGATAGAAAAAAATGAGTGTCTCAAAGAGATGTTACCAAGATCGCGGGTTCGAATCCCGTTCGGTTAGATAAATTCATTCATATAGATTAAAATGGTATATAATATATTGATTCATTATATTATGTATGTTCGTCCTTACATTGCACATACCTCGTGAACATGTTGATGAGGATGTATGAGTACGCTCCGAGTGGCGTGCCTCCGCGCCCCCGCAGTTGTCATCATTAGCGCCGAGCCCACCACACCACACTCACACACCTACAAACAAAAACTATATTAACATACCAGAATTATATAAAACAAAAAACCTACTCAAATAGGTAGATAATTGGGTTAAAATTCGTCTGCCCGTGATCACGGTTGCTGAAAAGTAGCCGAAATATCGGCAGTATGTAATTATTAACAAAAATAAATTATCATAGTATATCCGAAAAATATTATTTTCATTTAAACAATACTTTTATCTACTTATCTGTCCAATAGAATATTTGTGGAGTAATAAAATACGCCTAAATTAAAGAGATGATGAACCGCGGTTGGTTCTTACGTATATGGTATCACAAATATGACATATATGGAGTGATAAAAATGCATTTAAACATCATAATTGCTTCAAAGCCAATAAGATTCTGGTATCCTGAAAAGGCAGTGGGAGGTGTTACATGGTTATGTCATATTGGAACTAAAAAATTATTAAATTTAAGTATGACCACAACGAAACCTCCTAGCATTCAATGGATTCAGTGCGTATATCGGGTCCATCGTTGTAGAGGAGCTTCAACAGTGACTGGGACTTGCGACCCAGGCGTAGGTTTAAGGGACCCCTATTTAACGTTAAACGCTCACCTCCACCGTCCAAGCTCCTCTCTCTACCTAACTAAACTCGAAGTTTTTAGCCGTTTTAAGAATATATTACCATAACAATACATCGTTTAGTTATTACTAAATTTATTATTGAATTTATAGGTTTAGAGAAAATTGCTTTTATTGATACCAGGTTACACTGATGTGGGTTTAAATAGAATGAAATAAATTAGATATTACTCCTTACATTTATCTATAAATTGACGTTTATAGCGATATATTTGTCACAGCAGCACGTTTTGGTTTGCTTTATATAATTGGTTTTAGATTGTTCATACAATAATAATTTTGGTATAGATTGAATATTTAATGCTTTGCTTATAAAGGAAGTTGATAGTATTTTCTTATGTATATAATGGATTTATGCCTAATTAAGTAAATTATACTTAATTAATATTTTTTCACTGTTTATATGTTATAATAAAATAGGAATACTTTTTAAAATTTCATAGTGTTTTAGATGATTATCGTGAGTTTCGTAGCTTAAAAGAATTTCAATTATTTACGATCTTTAGACATTGAAACAAAGTAGAATATTATAAAAAAATACATAAAAACAGTCGCATTTATTATCATAAAAATATTTAATATGAAAACTAACGTGTAGAACAATAATCTGATGCTTCAATATCTTGCAATACTTTCATCTTCTTTTATTTTAAAGATCAAATTGAGTAATAACATTTATGTATCAACCTTTAACTGATTTTAAAGGAACAATGGTTTCGTAGGGTTTTTTAGGGCGCATTTAAAATGATTACAACCACTTTGTAATAGTGATTGGACACTATAAGTTATTTTTTATTTGTCAAACTTATGTAACAGCAGTTAAGTATTGTAGTTATTTTAACAGATATATGATTATGTTGTTTAAGTCTATTACGTAATTGGAGCTCAATTTTTATAGATATTTAACCGTTTTATACAACAAAGAATATATGTATCTTTAGGCTTATTCAAATGAAACATTTAGATAAGAAATATGAATTTATAACTAACGTACATTTGAACTTAGCTTAAATAAATCATATAGCAAGTTACGTAGCCAGCCATATAAGGTAACTGTCTAAATTACGATTTTTTACTAAAATTCTACAAAGATATAACGGAAATACGATCTAATCTAAATAAATCTTTAATACTTCCACTGTTGCGTTAATTTCGACTTTAATGGGTCAATAATGTTGCTACATTGTTTAAAAAGTATTGAATGTTTGATAGAAATAAGAAATAATATCCCGGGATCAATCCCAGAGTAAAAACATAAAAAAATAATACAAAATCAACAAAGCACTAAAGAAACAATATGAGCAACAGATTCCGAATCCTAGCCACTTATAAATCGAACAAAACAAGTCGATATCGTATTATGCTATGCTCGTATCTACTCTAACATATAGGATTAGAATGGGATAGTAACAACGGTTGAAATGTCGTAGGTCATTAGGTTCTAACCATGTAAGGTTCTCAATATGCCAATATGGAAGCAACCGTGACTTCTATAGTAACTTAGGAACAATAGATTTAAGTTAAATGCGTCGATGACCCGAGTTATATGGACTTAGATGACTTTGATAACAGAAAACAGCAAGTGGAGAAATTAATTGCGCGATTATACCGACTTATTGAAACGTCTGATGCAAATTGTGTTCAAATCAGATAAATATTCAATTATAAACTCTATATCTTTATGAATAAAATTAAATTTTATATGAACAAACAAAATAAATCTCCCTGATATAATAAAAACTTAACTGTTAGAAGAGTATATAAAGGTCAATGAACTCTCATTTAAAATAAATTGTGTTGCCCCAAAATTAATAACCGTATAAGAAAACACTGGTTTGTCATCTAAAAGTCATCCGGACGTCGATTCGTATTATGATAAGGCGAGCATTAGTTCTGGTAGGGCGTAATGGCTAACAATTAAGGTGTGGATGTTAGAAAATTTGGATGTGGTATTACAAGGCAGTCTCAATGAATGTCATATTAAATAAATTATATGAACAGTAAAGAAAAACTATTATAGAAAGTCATTAATTTATTAGGGAATTTTGAAGTTCAATTATAAAAGTTATTGTGGTTTATAAATTTTTATTCAATGTAATATTTAATGAACGTATAGCACCTAGCGTAGTAGTAATAATATCTGTGACATATAATAAAATATAATACACATATCAACTGTGGCGCCTCACTAGCACTTCGATCTGTCATCGGAGGCGGGAGAACGTTCTCTTGAGTTGTGTATTTACTTACTGATAATTTGGTGGTTTTATTTATAATTCTGAGATATAAATACAGAACATCACAATATCTCATCCAAAATCTACAGATTATATTCGTACATCCATGTATCCAAAGACTACTTATTATGCCCTTTATCTCAGTGCTCCAAGATTAAAGCCGTTTTGATTAGCTTTGAATTTATAAATTTAATCTGTAAATATTTATACTGAAAAGAATTACATCATGTCGAATTCAGTTACATTATTTAAAACTTTCAAATTACTTTTTACTCGTAAATATTTCATACAAACCCCGTACCACGAAATACAATGAAAGATTATTAACGATAAGTAATCAGTGAGTTTTTTATTGGTACGGGGTTGACCAGAAGTAAAAGATTCTAGATGATTCTACATCTGGCATCTTAAAATCAAAAGCATTAACACATAAACAAAAGACCACCTGCATCCCCCGCTAAGTGGCCGCTAACACGCACCACCCTGTCTTATATGTGCTAATGTGTCAAAATACAGGACAAATATTTGGTCGGTTAGGGTTACCGCGTTACTTGATATGCGCTATTTAAAAAAAATTGCGCTTTTTAAGTTAATAACGCGTTAGAGCTAGATGAGTTATAACTCATATAACGCAAATGTAACTCACGCGTTATTTTTCATTCATTATTTTAGTTTTTATATCTGTTTGTTATAAGGTAAAGTTGAAAAGATTTCCGTGAAGTTCGTCGTATATATACAAAGAATTTCGGAGAGTTCTTCTTAATGAGACAACCAACATACATTGGAAGGAAGCCGCTGGCAAAGTAAACAGAATATATGTGTTTGACTTAAATTTTACCAAAATTGAATAAACGGTACGTAAACGATTTATGAGTGAGTAATTTAAACCTCTTTGTTATATTATCATTATTATAATTCTTTTACTGATGCAAGCAGAATTTTACCGTATTAAAAAAACTTAAATTATATATTTATGTATATTTAAAACATTAATGAGTTATTTTATGTAATTATAAAAAATAAGACAAATAAGTAGCATGAAGGACAAAACATCATAAGAACTGCTATATAAGTATTAGTCATATTTTAACAGTTTATATAATGCAATTACAAACAAGATGATCACACAAGTTAATACAAGGTCGATAACTAATCCTGGAGTGTATTCTATCTTATTTATTTATAAACATACACAGATTATAAAGATTGCAATAAATTATACGTTGTTGGAAAAAAACTTATTATGTACATAATACACGTATAATATGAATACATTGCAAAAATTATATAATTGGTACAACATCTCAATTGTATGTCTATAAAAAATAGTTTAAACGAAATGGCAATTATTTTATAAAATAGCAGCTGACATCGATAGACAGTCATTGTGATTCATCTTTGAGTAGAATCACATGGATGCAAAGTTTACAGAATAAAAGAAATATAAGAAAGAAATAAGTAAAAGTCCGAACGCGATGCAGCCGTACTCAGATCTCGGTCAGGCGGGAGCGAACTTCTTTTGTTTCCAGCCTCGAATCAGCCAGTGTTTCGAATCTAGATTCTGTTTTTTTTTTTTTTTTTTTAATTTTTTTCCTTATTGTCTCTGTGCGGCCAGTACGGCTTGTAAAATAAAAACAAAACCCCGGTGGCTTATGGCTCCCCATTGATATGCGACGTTCGAAATTTAAATATTTGCCCGCTGTTAGCCGGCTGACTTCATCGGCTATTCTCATTTTGAAATCGATGCTGCCATCTCAATATTTAATATGTTAGTAAACAGCGTTGCTGATTTCAATCCGAATATATTCCTAGGTTTGTTCGTTTTTCCATTGAATATCATGCTGAATAAAAGCTCAATATAGTTCTATCTTATATATTAGGTAAGTATAAATATATTAACATAGATTAGGAAGAATATTTTTTAATTTATGCGTTTTAATCTCGTTTTTCTTGACAATAAAAAAAAAAGTCCATTAAAAATTTTTAGAACATCCAATTATTCATGTTTAAACGGGGCATGATAAATTGAAATCGGAACCAGTTTTTTGTATAAGTGTAAGTTATAGAGAGCAAAGAAATTTAATTTCGTTTCACGAGCCCGGGGTCAAGGGTCGA